CCCAGCAGGGCAGGGGATGAGTCATTATGCAAGGGGGCTAAGAACCTGTCTGACCAGTTATCTCCCAGGGAGCGAAACAATGGGAAGGGGAGTGGAGCCCTGGCTGGGGGCAGGGCTGGAAGGGAGTCAGTTAGGTTTCTGGCTGGTATCATGGAGGAAGCAGCCTAGGGAAAGGGGCTGGAATTTAGGGGCCCAGCCACCCCCCCGTCTCAAGGGGGGCTGAGGCATCCTAGCCCCGGTTCCTGGAACCAGATGACATCTGTGCTGTGCTGTATCCTGGAGGAGCAATAACCTCCCCTGTTCTACTGGCTGGGGGAGTCTGTCCGTGCCACTACGGGGGTGCAGGAGATGGGAAAACCCCAACGCGCCGTCACAGTCGTATTATCACGTGCTGACAGTATCCAAATTAAACATTTCTAGGGGCCAGATTCCACATAGTTTGGAATTTGTGTTCCATGGGAAATGTCAGCTCTTTGTTCCAACATGGAACTCCTTCCGCCCACCCGGAATGTCGATTTCTCCTGGCGCGGAAATTCGGCATTGTCATTCATCGGCATACCAGCGATGTGTACTGCGAGCAGGTTTTTGACTCCAGAGTGTAACCCATGCCCACGCGGTACGGCACTCTGTCCCCCTCTAATGGTGGCTGGCCTGCACGGCAAGGTGGAAGAACCGGCGGTACCGCCTCGGCTCGCCCGCCTAGCTCTCCAGAGGCGCCGGCTTTCTCTTGCACGGCCGCGTGCAGCCTCCGAGGCCCAGCCCACGCCTGTGTCTGGTGCACTGGCTGTGAATGACACGTGGAATTACCCCAGGGAACAGCCACGAGTGCCACGGGACCGAGGTTACGTCACTTTGCTCCAGCACCCCGCGCAGGCTCTTACCTCAACAGGCCCGCTGCCTGCTCTATAGAAACGTGCTCCACGGCTTCATGGTTTATGCTGAGGATCTGATCACCCGGCAGCAGCTTCCCCGCAGGCTCTTACCTCAACAGGCCCGCTGCCTGCTCTATAGAAACGTGCTCCACGGCTTCATGGTTTATGCTGAGGATCTGATCACCCGGCAGCAGCTTCCCATCTGCCC